CAAGTAGGTGCTTTAGACCACTGAGCCATCTCTCCAGCCCCTGCTTACCCTATTTAGTTGGTTGCTTCCGATCTCATTCGTGGAGTTCTGATCGTTTTGGTCCCTCTCTAGAACATCTTTCAGTAGCCTATGTAAGGTTGGCTTTGTCATCGTGAAATTTTTAAAAATATGGAACGCTTCACGAATTTGCATGTCATCCTTGCGCAGGGACCATGCTAATCTTCTCTGTATTGTTCCAATTTTAGTATATGTGCTGCCGAAGCGAGCACCAACCTAGACTTTTTAAAAAAGCTTTCTCAGTTCCTGTTACCAGGGGTGAGATATTTCCTCTTTTATGCTTTGTCACTTTTTCTATCAGTGTGTACAATTCCATGAACAAGCCTGTTTTTTAAATTTTATTTATTCTTTTTCTCTTCCAGGACCATATTTATGCTACTTCAGTTTTCATTTGCTTCAGCTTACTGAGAAGCTTCGGGTCTAGTGCCACGGGGACCAGAGGTTGTATCCTGTCACCTCTCACCTGAAATATTTTAAATATGATGTTCAAGACAATGATACCTAATATTTGAAAACAATCAATGCATGGCTATTGCTATTGTCATTGCCTAGAGTTTAACAGTGACTGGCTCAAATAGAGGGCATAGTCTGAGAAGAAAACATTGGAATGATTGCATATGTTTTGCTGCAGAGATCCCTGCACAACCAAATCGATTTCCCAATAGGACAGGTGGGAGACTGATATTTGAAGGAATTTGGAGATGGAATGGGTACTTGTAGAGCCCTGTCTCTCTTGCATTCACTTACAGTCTTCCCCAACCAAAGAACTTCTGTAGCAAGGAGAGGATTAATCTGAAGTTGAGAAAAGTCTCCCAGGAAGATGGCCAAAAGAACTTGCTTAGGAGTGTTTGCAATGATTTCCCAGGGGATACTTCTGCTTTCACTAGCTGGGTTATCCAAACACATTACTACCCCGTCCCATGCAGATTTTAAAAGTTAGGATTGAGCTGCTAGGTAGAATTGAATTCCAGGCTGTCTCCTTTTACTGAATTTTAATTGTGGGGATAGCAAAAGGATATTAAACCTAAACTTCCATTTGATGATGGAGATACTGAATAAACAAATAAGAGCAAAGAATTCCAAAGATGTAATTCAAGCCCTGTTGCACCATCAGACACACATGTGTGCACACACATAACCCTCAACTGAAAGAGGAGACCTGTCTTGCTGAGGTGTATGCTATTGTCTACAATGACTCCAAAAGAAACTGAGGAAGCTCAAATTGCTTCTGTCAAGGAATTATCTCAGGAAATGTAGTAGTTTGGAGACCTCTACATATCTCTTAGAAGAACAAAAGGGACCAATTAAGAGAGAATTAAAAAGTAGTAACTATCCACCCAGTGTCTGAGTTGGAGGAAAGACACAGAGTTCATAGAAGCCTTGTTTCTGGAGTATCGCTAAGGGATGAGACGAAGCCTGACAAGAGACACCTGAAAGATGAAGCCGTGGCTGGACCATGACTGGATGAGTGTCCTCAGCCACAGTGGCTATACAGCCTGGAGAACAACTGGAAGTGCCATGTACAGGGTTCAACTGAGCCCTGTTCTAATTCAATATTTGTATTCATTGCTTCAATAAAAACCAAAGAAGATGTACAACTTATTCATGCAACTTGCTAAAATAGTACTATTAGGGCCAGCCAGATAGCTCAGCAGACTAAAGCACCTGCTTAGGCAGGCCCAGGGATTGGGATTCCATCCCCTGCATGCCATGCCGGCCCCGTCCATAGGGCACACTGAGACTGAGGCTGGGCATGGTGGCACATGCCTATAGTCCCAGCACTTGGGAGGCTGAAAACAAGAGGATCACTACAAGTCTGATCTGTGTAGTGAGACCCTGTAGACCCTGTACTAAGTACATAGAAAGTACTATCATTATCAATTTATTACTTCCATCTTATAAAAGAGGAAACAAAGTTTCAACAAAGCTAAACAGCTCCTCAATGGCAGTATGGTAGAGTTCAAATGCAAACCTCTATAATCTTTCCCATAAATTTACACACAGCTACCAGATTTGTGGGATACACAGCTCTTGAAGAGGCAACTGATCTTTAGCATTGGATCCTAACTCAAAGGATCAAAACCTGGCCAAAAATAAATGATCCACAAACTATAGCAATATTTATTTCTATCAAATTCTATCTGATTTGAATTTTTGCAAGTTGAGCTTAAAATATGTACAACTTAAGTAAGGCTGTTATTTAGTAGAAATTGGAACTTTTAAGTGCAACATGAATTAATAGCAGAATCTGGCTGCCCCTGAAAGATAATACTGATACTTTTCAGCTACATAAATGAAGAACTAAGATCATGTCTCAGAGGAGGGGAACAGCTTACTCTTCACTGATTGGGCCACATTTAAATGATTATGTCCAGCTCTACACATCGTATTTTAAAAGAAACATCATGTTGAAATAAATATTTATTGTGCACCTATTAGTTTGCAGGCCTAATCCTCTTTAATCCTCTTAACGAGACCAAGACATCAGTGCTGGTGAGTTGCCTTTTCACAGAGAATTTAAGAAGCCGTGTAAGCAGCTCGGATGATTCACGCTCTCTGGCCCCTAAAGTCTGCTTTCCCCAGCTGTCCCTAGCTCTGAGTTCTCCAAAGACGGAGAGAGAGGGCTTATGGGCTGAAACACAGGAAAGAAGAGCCACAGAAAGGAGAAACTCAGGGTCGCACATCCCCTTTCCAGAAGGCTGAGGGCTGTCACTCTCTGCTTGGTAGGACAGAGCTAGGACAGATGGACGTCTTCAGGATGGGACTTCAGAAGCAACAGCAGGATTCCTCAAAAGCAGAACACTGAGCTCGCACACTGTAGGGGATATCGCACCACAGAGAGAGCTGCAGAAGAGATTTCAGGGTCAGAGTCAGCGCAGACCTCTAAGAACTCATCTAAGACCAAGATTTCCTAATAGTGACTTTTAAACAGGCTATACTTGGAATTCCATTGTCT